AGCCACGCACCTGAATGTCCGGACAGGGGATGGTGTCTCCATCATTCACACTAAGACGTAACTTCTGGAAATCCAGGGTGGACTTTTTTGAATAACAGCAGTACTAAGTACTAGCATGAGCAAAACTTTAGTAAAACATGCTGCCTAGGAAGGGACTTGTTTTGCCAGCAGCTAGGAAGCTGTGCTCCTTCATGGATCACTGCCTTGTCATGGCGAAGGGGCTTGCTTAGCTCAATGAAGCTATGAGCTATGCTGTGCAGGGCCACCCAAGACGGACAGGCCATAGCAGGGAGCGCTGACAAAACGTGATCCACTGGAGAAGGAAATGGCAACCCACTCCAGTATCTTTGCCATAAAAACCCCATGGACAGTACCAAAAAGGCAAAAAGATATGATGCCGGAAGATGAGCCCCTCAGGTCGGAAGGTGTCCAATATGCTACTGGGGAAGAGCAGAGGGCTAGTACTAGTAGCGCCAGAAAGAATGAAGAGACTGGGTCAAAGCCGAAAGGACACTCAGTTGCAGATGTATCTGGTGGTGAAAGGAGAGTCCAGTGCTGCAAAGATCTGTACTCCATAGGAACCTGGGATGTAAGATCCATGAATCAAGGCAAGCTGGATGTGGTCAAACAAGTGATGACAAGACTGAACATCAACATCTTAGGAATCAGTGAACTAAAATGGACAGGAATGGGTGAATTTAATTCAGATGACCATCAGGTATACTACTGTGGGCAAGAATCCCTCAGAAGAAATGGAGTAGCCTTCATAGTCAATAAAAGAGTAGGAAAAGCAGTCCTGGGATACAATCTCCAAAATTACAGAATGATCTCAGTTCGAATCCAAGGCAAACCATTCAACATCACAGTAGTCCAAGTCTCTGCCCCAACCACTGGTGCTGAAGAGGCTGAAGTTGACCAGTTCTATGAAGGCTACAACACCTTCTAGAATTAACACCAAAAAATGATGTCCATGATGTCCATGGGGGATTAGAATGCTAAAGCAGGAAGCCAAAAGATAACCGGAATAACGGGCAAGTTTGGCCTTGGAGTACAAAATGAAGCAGGCACAGGCTGGTAGAATTTTGTCAAGAGAATACGAAGGTCCTAGCAAACGCTTTTTTCCAACAACCCAAGAGACGACTCTGCACATGGGCATCACCGGACGGTCAACACAGAAATCAGATTGACTATGTGCTCTACAGCCAAGGATGGAAGACCTCTGTACAGTCAGTAGAAATGAGACCAGGAGCTGACTGTGGCTCAGATCATGAGCTTCTTGTTGCAAAATTTAGGCTTAAATTGAAGAATGTAGGGAAAAGCACTAGGTCACTCAGGTATGACCTAAATCATATCCCTGATGAATATACAGTAGAGGTGACAAATAGGTTTAAGGAATTAGATCTGATAGACAGAGTGCCTGAAGAACTATGGACGGAGGTTCGCAACATTGTACAAGAGGCAGCAACTAAAACCATCCCAAAGAAAAAGAAATGCAAGAAAGCAAAATGGCTGTCTGAGGAAGCTTTACAAATAGCTGAGGAAAGAAGGGAAGCGAAAGGCAAGGGAGAAAGAGAAAGATACAAACAAATGAATGCAGAATTCCAGAGAATAGCTAGAAGAGATAAGAGTGCCTTCTTAAATGAACAGTGCAAAGAAATAGAAGAAAACCATAGAATAGGGAGGACCAGAGAGCCCTTCAAGAAAATTGGAGATATGAAGGGAATGTTGCGTGCAAAGATGGGCATGATAAAGGAACAAAATGGCAGGGACCTAACAGAGGCAGAAGAGATTAAGAAGAGTGGCAAGATTACACAGAGGAATTATACAAGAAAGAGCTTAACGTCCCTGATAACCATGATGGGGTGGTCACTGTCTCAAGCCAGACATCCTGAAATGTGAAGTCAAATGGGCCTCAGGAAGTCTGAGCAACAACAAAGCTAGTGGAGGTGACAGTATTCCAGCTGAGCTATTCAAAATCTTAAAAGACGATGCAATAAAAGTGCTACACTCAATATGCCTGCAAATTTGGAAAACTCAACAGTGGCCACAGGATCGGAAAAGGTCAGTTTACATTCCCATCCCAAAGAAGGGCAATGCCAAAGAATGTTCACACTACCGCACCATTGCACTCATTTCACATGCTAGCAAAGTTATGCTCAAAATCCTGCAAGTTAGGCTCCAGCAGTGTGTGGACCGAGAGCTTCCAGGAGTACAGGCAGTATTTCGAAGAGGCAGAGGAACTAGAGATCAAATTGCCAACATACGCCGGATCATGGAGAAAGCTAGGGAGTTCCAGAAAAACATCTACTTCTGCTTCATTGACTATGCTAAAGCCTTTGATTGTGTGGATCACAACAAATTGTGGCAAGTGCTTAAAGAGATGGGAGTACCAGGCCATCTTATTTGTCTATTGAGAAACCTGTATGCAGTTCAAGAAGCAACAGTGAGTACTGGACACGGAACCACTGATTGGTTCAAAATTGAGAAAGGAGTTTGGCAAGGCTGTTTACTGTCGTCCTGCCTATTTAACTTATATGCAGAGCACATCATGAGAAAGGCAGGGCTAGATGAATCATCAGTTGGAATTAAGATTGCCAGGAGAAATATCAACAACCTCATATATGCAGATGATACGACTCTCATGGCAGAAAGTGAAGAGGAACTAAAGAGCCTCTTGATGTGGGTGCAGGAGGAGAGTGCAAAAGTTGGCTTGAAACTGAACATTAAGAAAACTAAGATCATGGCATCGGTCCTATCACTTCCTGGCAAACAGATGGGGAAGAAATGGAGGTAGTGACAGATTTTATTTTCCTAGGCTCCAAGATCACCGCAGATGGGGACTGCAGCCAAGAAATTAAAAGACGCTTGTTCCTGGGGAGGAAGCTATGGCAGATCTAGACAGCATACTAAAAAGCAGAGACATCACCCTGCCAACAAAAGTGCGTATAGTCAAGGCTATGGTTTTCCCAGTTGCGATGTATGGCTGTGAAAGCTGGACCATAAGGAAGGCTGAGCGCCAAAGGATTGAGGCCTTTGAATTGTGGTGCTGGAGGAGACTCCTGCGAGTCCCTTGGACCGCAAGGCGATCAAACCGGTCAGTCCTAGAGAAGATCAACCCTGACTGCTCTTTAGAAGGCCAGATCCTGAAGATGAAACTCAAATACTTTGGCCACCTAATGTGAAGGAAGGACTCCCTGGAGAAAAGCCTAATGCTGGGAACAATAGATGGCAAAAGAAGAAGGGGACGGCAGAGGATGAGGTGGCTAGATGGAGTCACTGAAGCAGTCGGCATGAGTTTAAGTGGACTCCGGGGGATGGTGGAGGACAGGAAGGCCTGGAGGAATGTTGTCCATGGGGTCGCGATGGGTCGGACACCACTTTGCGACTAACAACAACAAGGAAGCTGTGAAGTGGTCTATCAAGACCTCTGGAATATGCTTCCCCTGTCTGGGTGCCCATGTACATTGTTTACCAAGGTGACCAACGAAAAGTATTGCATTGCATTTGTCCCCAGCCTGTTTTTCCTTTTATGAGGAACCCAAGGCAGTTTGCAGAGCTCCACTTTTATCCTCACAACAGCCACCTGGGGAGGGAGATTGAGCTGAGGGTCTGCGGCTGCTCTGAAGTCGTCCAGTGAGCTTCATGGTCAAGTGGGGACTGGAACCCAGCCCAGTGCTTTGACCACCCCTGCGCACTGGCTCAGTGGGGCCTCGGTCCTATGGCCAGGGCAAGCCAGGTTGCCCTGGTTTGATAATGAGCATCATGCAGAAGAGCCGAGATGCCTACACGCCCCCACCAGCTTGCCTGAGACCATCCTGGAGACTGGCTGGATTCAAGGCGGGGGTTAAACCAAGGTCTCACTTTTTTTTTATTTATGTGCTATTGTGCTGCCAACTATCCTGACAGGGATCTCCAGGCGGCTTACAACAATAATCAAAACACAATTCTTAGAAACAATGAAACAATAAACACATCATATAAACATAATAAAACAGCAAGGATATCATAGTGGCCATTTAAGGTATTACATACAGCAAGTTCGAAGGACAACTATATGCATCATTAACATTAAATGAGCTAAAACCCGTTGTTAAAAGGCCTGGTCAAGAGAAGTGTTTGCCTGGTGTCAGAAACAGAATAAGGTTGGTACCTGGCGAATCTTCTGTAGGTGGGGGGCAGCCACCGAAGAGGCCCTTCTTCTGCTTGCCATCCCTCTCACCTCCTTGCGGGATGGCTCTTTCAGAAGGGCCTCTTGCCCAGGTCTCAATGGTTGGGTAGGCTTGTGTGGGAGAAGGCAGTCATTCAGGTAGCCAGGCCCTAAGCTGCTGAGGGCTCTGTATGTCAAAACAAGCTCTTTAAGTTGGGCCCAGGTTATAACTGGCAACCAGTCTAGTCTGCATAAAACTGGTGTTATATGGGCTGCGAACTAACACCTGCTACTAAACTGCCCCTTGGGGAGGCGGGAGAGAATCACACCTGGTCAGAAGAAGAAGAGTCATCTGGACTGTCCTGCCCACTCAGTCAGCCTCCCTCTGGTGGCCCGTGTGAGTTTGGAGGGGCACGGGCTGCACGGGCACCACTTGGCCCTTCTGCACCAGCCACGCTGTGGGCTTGAGGCCAGGGTGCTGGCAGGTCCCTCGGGCCCAGCAGCCTGGAGATGCTGCGCTGCTCCAGGAGCAGCTGCATGAGGGAGGAGGTGGAAGCCCACGTCCTGCCTGCGTCTGGAGAGGGGTCTCTGGCTGGCCTGACCCAGGACCCAGGCGAGTCAGGCCTTGGACCATGAGGTGCCTCGCAGCCCTACGTGGCCCAGAGAGGCAGCGTCTCCCGTAACGGTTTTGGGGATATTTAGGGATCTCTGCAAATGGTGATTCTTACTGCAAGTGACCTTGTTTTTGTTGTCTTTGTGCTTCAGACACTGCTTTGTCCCCCCCAAATAAACACTTTCTGTTTTTGTTTTCCACGCCCCTGATTGCTGTTTTAGATGGCAAAGCGCCAAACTCTGCCGCCTTCATTCCCTCTGACATTGCTTGTGGTAGCTATGTTTGGCCACAGAGGAAGTAAAATGGGAGGGAAATGTTTTGATTATTGTTATTTTTTGGTATTTATTTTTAATATTTTCCCCTCTGGGAAATGGCTGTACAATTCAACCTCTTCAGTAGATTTCCATCCGATGTGGATTTCATTTGTCAAGGTTAATGCTGGAACAATGCCTTTTGCAGCTGTTAATCTTCACAGGTCAACACGTTGTATACAGATGGAGCTGGGAGAAAACAGCTTGTCTGAGGCACCCCAATGAAGGGTGCAGAGCACCTGCTTTCGCGTGGAAGGATCGGACCCTGCCGTCTCCGAGTAACGATGGAGAAGAGAACCCTGGTGCCTCCCGTTTGCCACTGTAAGCACCTGAGCTGGAAGAGCAGCTGAGCTGCGTTGTGAACAGGGGCATATGCACCGCTCTCTTACCCATAGCACTGCTCTCAAAAAGCCGGCGCACCAAGTTCTGCCGGTGAATAAGGGGGGTGTAAGGTTGTCAGCCAAGGAGGAGGGAGCCTGGGACGGTCCCAGGTCTGCCTGGCTGAGCAGGCTGTTCCATGACAGGCAACTAGGCGCAGCAGTGGGAAGCCCACAAAGGGCAGGGGGACACTCTCCAGCCTCACGCACACCCCCTGCAGCTGGCACAGAGCGGCAGGCAGCGTCTGGCACTGGGGCTCATGCAGGTATTTGATCCGGCAAATCCCTGGCTGGACTTCCGGTCCATCCTGCCTCCGTTTGCCATGCAGGTTGTTGTAGTTCTGCCGGGGCAACCGTTGCCAGCTGCCCTTCCTCCGACTCCCAGCCATTGGCTGCTTGTTGGGGAGCAGCAGGAGCGGGCACCTGGTGCCTCTGCTGCAGCCTTTGCCTCGTGAATGGGCTGGCTGCAAATGCCGCTGCCGCCCGTATGTGGCGTCTCAGGCGGAGCTTGGTCTGCCAGCAGAGTGCAGTGCCTTCGTCTGCAGCATGCGGTTGTGCTCACATTAGTGCTGCTGCTTGCGCACTGGTAGCTCAGCGTCGTGCCACGGGGCCGTCCGGCCCCTTTGCCCATTGGCTCAGCCTGGGTGGTGCGTGTCTCTCTCTGCCAGGCACAAGAATTGTGGTACGAAGTTACTACTCGGAAGCACAGAAAGAGGCCGCGGCGACAGCATCTCTCCAGCGCCCAGGCTGGCCCTGCCGGCTCCCAACCCTTACGGCTGCCACGGCAAGAACAGCCGCACGAGAGAGAGCCTAGGAGGCGTCGATGCACCCGTGTGGTCTCTTCCACACGCAGCGTGCACTCGCCTGCCTGCCGTCTGAGCTAGTGCGGTGCAGGCGGGGGCAGCCCGGCATCTGGGAGTCCCCAGGAAGCCCCAACTTGGAGGATTCACATCCCCTTTCACTGGTCGTGTGGCCCGGCATGTCCTTCTGGCTGCCCACACAAGCAGGTCAAAGGATGGGCATTGGAACAAGACCCTGAAGTGGAGGCCTGTGTGAAGAGCACCTGGGCCCCAGGAGGCAGCGCAGGGCCTGCTTCTGCGAGGCAGGGAAGTGGGCCAGGCCACATGGTGTGGAGTGGCCCCGAGAAGCAGTCTGGGAACTCCCCCGCAGGGTTGTAAGACCCTCTTCAGAGGCCTTGCTGTCTGCATCTGCCCAGTGCCGTGAAGTGAAGTGAGCCGAGGGGCTCAGAGGGTGAGGCTCACCTGACACCACAGTTGTGTTGTTTTTCGTAACAGATAAATTGCCTTTTGTTTATCTAGGCCTTCTAAGCAATGCACTTTTAAAACAAGCATACATTTTGTTTTGGATCCGTTTATATGAACAGGAACATGTGGCTTTATGTTCCTCTGCTACATTGGCAAACTTTTAATGCTGCATTTTTTCTCTTGTCCTGAATTTCAGTTACTACATTTTGTACTCTAATGCTTTTTACTCTCATCTGACCACTTCAGAGAGGCTAGGCTGATGGGCAGCCAAGGAAACGTAATAAATAAAATAGGGAGCCTGCAGTGGGAGGGCCCAGTGAGGGCAACCCCCAGCTGCTGCCCAAGTAGCACGCAGCAGGTAGGAGTTCAGCCCTCACCGCAGCCCTTGTGCAGTTTCTTGCGATGTGCCCATCGAGCCGTGAGCGGTCATGGCAGAGCCTGGAAGCAAATCTGTCTGTTCCACTGGCTTCCCAGAGCAGTTCCCTTTCCGTCCAGGGACCACCACTTAGACACCCGGGATGCTCCTCACCGCCCAGCCATCCACACGCGGCCCTAGCCTCATGCCCCGGGACCAGCCTGGCTGCAGAACACGCTGCTCTGCCTCCGGTGTCCTGTGCAGAGAGCTGCAGGCGCCAGTCCCCCTCTGCCTGAGGGCCCCCGGGATCAAGCCAGTCCCCAGTGGGCGCACAGGCTGAGACTGCCAGGGGAGCTTCCCGCAGCCATACTTCTGCTCCCCGCTCTTCTGCCCAGGGGCTGTTTGCTTGTCTGGCCGGCCCTGTTTGGCTGCTGACCGACTGGATTTTTGCGGACTCATTTGCCTCATCGCAGTGCTGTCCTCCTCCTGTCCTTTGGTCCAGGGCAGTGTCAACAGGATTCCCGGGTGAGCTCCCATCCCTCGTTTAGCTCCAGGAAGGCTGCTGCATCACATGCCTCCAGATCGCAGCCTGGGAGCCGCCTGCATGCAGCCACTGGAAAGAGATTTGCTTTGTGACTAAAGTTGTTCCTGGCCAATGCAGGGCTAGGGGACAAGCAGCCTCTCTCTTGTCTTGGCTATCAAATAATATTTTAATAATTTGTTTAAAGGTACAATGGCTTTCTTTGAATATTTGACAGGGTTGGGCTGCTTTTACATAATAAGTTGCTAGTGAACCATCTGTTAGCAACCCTGAAGAAACTAACTGAAAAAGTGGCCTTGGAATGGCAGCCTCTCCCCCAGATTCCAGCAGCACATGATGCAGGGCAGGTTTGGGGCTGGCTGTCTTGTGTGGGGGGTGCTTCTTGACTAGAGTTCTTGCAGGCCGCCACTTTCTGAAGCCCAACTACCTACTTAAGTTTTTGTAATGGTGCAGCTAATTTGCTAATCTGTGCTAAGTGATGCTGAACATGACATTTTATTTGAGGTACAAACGTGCTGGGCTGGTACCTGGATGAGGCTAGGAAACGGAAGCCCAATGCAGAGGTGCAGCCAACAGGTGGTTTTCCAGTTTGGATGTGTGGGTGAAACCAGTTCTGGATGGGTTCACCTTTGCCCAGAAGGAGCAGGCATATTCCTGGTATTATTGTTGGATCTGCCAATGTCATTGGAGGCACAGGTGGCCCCCTTTCAACCTGAGCTGGGCAAGGCTCACCTGGCTTGGAAGATGTATGGGCTGCAGCTTCTGGGGTCAGTGGCTGCCATGCACTTTGCATTGACCTGGCTTTGAAAGGACTTCTGCGACGGCAACTCTGCAGAGTGCAGCTAGAAACACAGAATCATGGAAACATAGAAACAGAGCGAGTCAGAAGGGGCCTCCCAGCCATCTAGTCTGACCTCCGGCACCAGCCAGCTCCACTCATGACAGGCCCACCATGTGGACATCCAGCCTGTCCTTGAACACCCGCACCAATGGGGCCTCACCCACCTCCCATGGAAGCCCATTCCACACCCTCGGGGTCCTGACTGTCAGGAAGTGCTTCCTGGCATCCAAACGGAACCTTGGCTCCCTGAGCTTTGCTCCGATGGAGGGCGTCCTGCCTTCTTCTGCAGGGGAGAACAGGTCTCTACCCATCTCCATGTGACACCCTTCACATACCTGTATGTCCCCAGCAGATCCCCTCTGAGTCTCCTCTTCTCCAGGCTGAAGAGACCCAGTTCCCTCAGTCTCGCCTCATACGGCATCCCCTGCAAACCGGCCACCAACCTTGTGGCCCTTCGCTGCACTGACTCCAACCTGGCTATATCCTTTCTGTAATGAGGGGCCCAAAACTGAGCACAATACTCCAGTTGCGGGCGCACTAGAGTTGTGTAGAGTGGTAGTAATACCTCTCTTGATCTAGAAGGCACACTTCTGGCTATGCAACCAAGGGTGGCGTTCGCCCTCTTGACCACCGCATCACACTGCTGACTCATTTTTAGCCTGCAGTCAACCAGCACCCCGAGGTCCCTTTCACAAGGGCTGCTCTCCAGCTACATGTCCCCTAACCTGTACTTATGACACCCATTCCTATGCCCCAAGTGCAAGACCCTGCACTTATCCACATTGAACGCCATCCTGTTGTCTCCTGCCCACTTCCATAGTCTGTCCAGATCCTTTTGGATCTGGAGTACCTGCTCCTCAGTGTGGCCACTGCCCCAGTTTTAGTGTTGTCTGTGAATTTGATCAGCAGACTGTTCACCCCTTCTTCCATGTTGTTAATGAAAAGATTAAACAGGATTGGCCCCAGGAGAGAGCCCTGGGGGACCCCGCTTGTCACTGGCTGCCATCCCAATGATTCCCTGTTAATGATTACCTTCTGCCTTCGGTCAGTCAACCATGCCCTAATCCACCGGACAGTGCTTTGGTGTATCCCAAAATTCCTCAATTTCTCCACCAGGATATCATGGGGCACTTTGTCAAAGGCCTTGCTGAAATCCAGGTAAACCACATCCACTGCATCCCCTCCATCTAGCCATCGCAAAACCTTGTCATAGAATTCCACAAGTTTTGTCTGACAGGACTTGTTTTTGCGGAAGCCGTGTTGTGTGGCTGTCAGCCTCCCTTCCCTATCTAGCATCACTAGATCTCTCTCTATTATGAGCCTCTCCATTGTTTTTCCTGCAATGGACGTAAGGCTAACTGGTCTATAATTCCCCATGTCCTTTCTACTACCCTTTTGAAAATTGGGACTACTGATGCCACCCTCCAGTCCTCTGGTACTTCACCTGTTCTCCACGAGGTCTCAAAAATGGAGGCCAGTGGGCATGAGAGAACCCCGGCCAACTCTCTAAGTACTCTCGGATGTAACCTGTCAGGGCCTGGCGCCTTTGTAATGTCCAATGCCCTGAGGAGCCCCTCGACTTCAAGGGGGGGGGTGACTCTAATCTGTGCCCCTAAGTCCCCAGCCTCATGTAATCTCCTATGCGGATATCCCCTGTCCTGCTTTGGGGTCTCCAAATAGTCATTTAGCATCTGTGCCTGTTCCCTCATATCAGTCACTGGATCTCCTTCCTCCTTATTTAGTGGTCCCACCACTTGTCTCCCCTTCCTCTTCCTATTCACATGCTGAAAGAAGCCCTTTTTGTTGCTCTTGATATTCTTGGCAAGTCTCAGCTCGTAATCAGCCTTAGCCGTGCGACGAATCCTTCTGCAATGGGCCTCCTCCCCCCCGGTATACCCTTTTGTCTATTTCCCCCAGTACCCATTTCCTGTGGAGGTACTTC